AACCATTTCAACTCCCCCTCCCATTCCTCAGACGACATGTCCATCCTGGGCCTCCTGCAGTGCCACAACGATGCCACCCGAAGGTTGCAGGAACAGCAACTCATATTCCGCTTGGGAACCCTGCAGCCCAATGGTATCAATGTGGATTTCACAAGTTTCAAAATCTCCCCTCCCCCTACCGCATCCCAAAACCAGTCCAGCTCGTCCCTGCCTCCCTAACCTGTTCTTCCTCCCACCTATCCCCTCCTCCCACCTCAAGCCGCACCTCCATCTCCTACCGACCAACCTCATCCCGCCCCCTTGACCTGTCCGTCCTCCCTGGACTGACCTATCCCCTTCCTAACTCCCTACCTACACTCACCTTTACTGGCTCCATCCCCGCCTCTTCGACCTGTTTGTTTCCTCTCCACCTATCCTCTCCTCTATCCATCTTCTATCCGCCTCCCACTCTCTCCCTATTTATTTCAGAACCCCCTTCCCCTCCCCCTTTTCTGATGAAGGGTCTAGGCCCGAAACGTCAGCTTCTCTGCTCCTATGATGCTGCTTGGCCTGCTGTGTTCATCCAGCCCTGCACCTCGTTGTCACTATTTCAGGAATACTAGCTTCACTAAAGCCACCCCGACATATATCAATGTCAGATCAGGATGGGAAAAGCTGCCCTCAGGTCATTATTCCCTTTCTCTCAGTTACACAGGCACTTTCCTGATTTGCCTCACCTTCACTCGGCTCAGCCTCTCGTTCACTGCCTCCGGTTCCATCCCATCCGAGTCATCATCACAAATTTCTGCCTGTGCCAAAATCAGCCAATCCCACAGCCTCTGCAGGAAGAGAGCAAACCTGAGTCAAACTAAAAAACCACAACTCACATCCTGGACCCATCAGGGCACACAAAGATACAGACATCTGAACAGAGCAGCAGGAGGCCATTCAGCCCCTCAAGCCTGCTCTACCATTCAATGAGATCATGCTTGATCTGACAGTCACCTTAAATCCAGGCAGTCCTTGGGTGAAAGTATTAAATTGGCAGAAGACTATCGACCACAATTGGGCAGGAACTGGGGAACGTAGATTGGGTGAGTTTGTTTGAAGGTAAATCCACCTCTGACATGCCTGAATCTTTTAAAGACCAGCTGCTTAGAGTTCAGGACCAGTATGTTCCTGGGAAAACGAAGGGTAAGGATGTCAAGATTCAGGAACCTTGGATGACAAGAGAAATTGAGAGCTTATTCAAAACAAAAGAGGAAGGATGTGTTAGGTTTAAGAAACTGAAGACAAATACAGCCCTTGAAGAATACAAAGATAGCCGGAAAGGACACAAAGAAAGGAATTAGGAGGGCTAAAAGGGACCATGAAATGTCTTTGACAAACAGGATTAAGGAAAATCCCTAAGGGTTTTATACATATATAAGGAGCAAGAGTTAACTAGGGAAAAGATAGGTCCGGTCCAGTCCAGAGGAGGGAATTTATTCATCGAGCCAGATGAATTGGGTGAGGGCCTTAATGAGTACCTAGCATCGTTATTCACCAAGGGGAAGAACATGGTGGATAGTGAGTCTCTGGAGGGGTACATTGATATTCTGGGGTAATGCAAAATATAAAAAGGAGGTGGTGTTGGGTGTTTTAAAAAGCAATAGGTAGGCAAATCCCCAGGGTCTGATGGGAGCTATGCCAGAATGCTGAGGGAGGCAGGTGAGGAAATTGCTGTTGCTTTGTATGAAATCTTTGTAACCTCATTAGTCACAGGACAAGTCTTAGTGGACTGGAGAATCGCCAATGTTGTTCCTTTGTTTAAGAAGGGCAATTGGGATAATTCAGGAAATTACAGGCCAGTGAACCTTATGATAGTGGTAGGGAAATTATTGGAGAAGATTCTTCGGGATAGAATTTACTCACATCTGGAAAAATATGGACTTATTAGTGATAACAGGCATGGTAAGGAAGGTCATGTCTCACAAACTCGATTGAGTTTTTTGAGGAGGTGACAAAAGTAATTGATGAGGAAAGGGCAGTGGATGTTGTCTACATGGACTTTAACAAGGTCCCTCATGGCCGGCTGATACAAAAGGCCATGTGGGATCGGGGTGAGCTGGTAAGATGGATACTGAACTGGCTTAGTCACAGAATTCAGAGAGTAGCAGTGGAAGGGTGTGTTTCTGGCTGGAGGTCTCTGACCAATGGTTTTCCACAGGGGTCCGTGTTGGGACTCCTGTTCTTTGTAATATATATAAATGAGTTGGAAGAGAAGATTTTTACGCAGAGAGTGGTCAGAGTGTGGAACGCACTGCCAGGGGTGGTGGTGGAGGCAGATATGATAGGAGCATTTGAGGGGCTTTTAGATAAGCACATGAATATGCCAGGAATGGAGGGGTATGGACCAAGGGCAGGCAGAAGGGATTAGTTTCATTTGGCATCATGTTTGGCACAATATTGTGGGCCGAAGGGCCTGTTCCTGTGCTGTACGGTTCTATGAGAATTTAAGTGGCTTGATTAGTAAGTTTTGGAGGAGCTACAGATAGTGAGGAGGATTACCAGGGAATACAGCAAGATACTGATTGGCTGGAGCCTTGGGCAGAGAAATAGCAGATGGAGTTTAATGCAGACAAAAGCGAGGTGATGCATTTTGGAAGATGTAATACAGGAAGGAAGTATGCAGTAAATAGCAAAACCCTTAGTAGCATCAACAAAGAGAGGGATCTAGGAGTACAAGCCCACAGTTTCCTGAAAGTGGCAACACAAGTGGATAATGTGGTCAAGAAGGGATATGGTAAGTTTGCACAGAGTATAAAAGTTGCAGCTGTATAGAACTTTAGTTAGGCCACATTTGGATTATTGAGTACAATTCTGGTCACTACATTACCAGAAGGATATGGAGGTTTTGGAGAGGTAACAGAAATAGTTTACAAGGATGTTGCCTGGTTTGGAGAGTATTGGCTATGAAGACAGACTGGACAAACTTGGTTTGTTTTCACTTGAATGTTGAAGGTGGTGGTGGCGGTGGTGACCTGACAGAAATTTACAAATTTGAAAGGTATGGTTAGAATGGATAGTCAGAGTCTTTTTCCCAGTGTTAAAATGTCAATTACTGGGTGATGTAAGTTTTAGGTAAAAGGAGGAAGAGATAAAAGGAGATAACAAGGTGTAGAGCCGGGTGAACACAGCAGGCCAAGCAGCATCAGAGGAGCAGGAAAGCTGACGTTTTGGGGCTGGACTTTCAGCTGTGTTCACCCAGCTCTATACCTTGTTATCTCAGATTCTCCAGCATCGGCAGTTCCTACTATCTCTGAAGAGATAAAAGGAGATGTGAGAGGCAGGTTTTTTTTTTTACACAGAGGGTGTGAAGTGCCTGGAATGCGCTGCCA